CGTTCCTTCATTTTCTGATGATGTTGTTTGATATCATATCTTCAGCCACGTTATTTTGACTCCTCGTCTGTGTATATTTCTTGAGTAAGTGTAAACTATCAGTTCGAATCTATATATTTAGTTTAGCAAATTTTCTGGAGAGTCTACTATCAGCGTTTTACATATTTATATATAAATGTAAATTTATATATAAATATAAATTAAAGTTATATATTTAAATCACATATTATATATATATGTATACACATAAGAACACAAGATTTAAGGATATTGCTGAAGAGCCTATATGGCCCATATATAGGGCCATATACGCGGCAGCTCCTATTTATATCCACACTAACTCATCCAGACATATATTTAACGTAGGGATGGCACAATCCATCGATCTCCAGTCTATCATATTTCGTCGGTAATTTGATCCATGTTTCAACAACCTGAGGCAACTAAAACTTTATTCTTTTATTATTAATTGTATATTTTCATTATTAATAATTTATACATTCATTATTAAGTTTTTACTTGATTACAAATTCTAAAGTTCTCTATTAATTTTATTCTTTCATTATTAATTTTATGTTTTTATTATTAACTAGCTGTATTAAACTATATTCATGAAATGAATGGTATGGTAAACAACACAACTTAATTCCAACGCAATGTCACAGAAAATAATTAAATGAAAATGAAAATACATAGAAATCTATGAAAATTCAATTTTCAATGCAATCGGAAACATTGAAATGTAATCGTAACATATGTAGTATAGCATGTGTTGCTATTACGTGCAACAGATGGCGCTGTTTTCAAAAAACATGTTTTTACCTGTCACAGGTGTGGCATCTATATAGTAGGTACATGAAAACACGTGCATTTTTTAATGGAACCTTGTGTCAAAATTTCAAAGCAATCGGTGAAGAACTTTCGGAGATTAGCGATTTTGAACAAATGAACATTTATATTTTTATTTATATACATTTTATACATTTATTATTAATTTTATACTTTCATTATATATATTTATACTTTCATTATTAATGTTATAGTTTCACTATAAATTTTATAATCCATTGTAAAAGTTTAATCAACTAATGACCTTCAAGATCTGCACTTTTTGACTTACCTTATAATTATTTCTTAAGCTCTCTTTATTGTCTGAGCCTTATTAAGGCTTTATTTTTCTTAGATATTCCTGGGCCACAAAATCACCTCAAGGTAACGTCCTCGCATCTTGCAGGTCGGTGTTCGATTCCCCGATGGTCAAAGTGGTAGAGCAACCTTCTTTCCCTATGTCCTCATACCCCAGCTCCTTGTCCTCATACCCCAACTCCTTGTCATATCCATTCCAAGTGCTATATAGTCATTCTGGCTTAGTTATTTCTCCTCATAATTACCACACCTTCTCCAAGAAAGATTGCTATTCCCAACTCATCCATTAGCACCTAACTAACTCTTCTTGCTTACTCAGTCTTTCCAGAAACCCCCAAAGATTTGACGAGAAATATAATCTTTCTTATCTAAGCAAGGTTGACGCCTCGCGACTTTAAGAAAACTTGTAGAATCGAGAGTCCTCGAGATTCAAAAGTACACTTCCGGCTCCAACGTTAATTAAAGATAGGACAAAAAAGTATATAATATTTTCACCAAGTTCTGTGGTAGATCATATCGCAGGCAGCATCTTAATGGCCTCGAATGATGGATCAGATTACAGGAAGTTTTCATTCACTACAGAGAGCATCTTAGGAGATGCTCTCTGACCACAGAATTATGAGAGGGATTTTTCACTGACTACAGATTGATGGAAGGGGTTCTCTCCGTCCAGAGACGACTAGAAGGAGTACTCACTGACTACAAATTAATGGAATGGATGTTAACTACAGAATGATGCAAGGGATACTGATTACAGAAAGATGGAAGGGGTAATCACTGACTACAGAATGATGGAAGGGATACTTACTGACTGCAGAATGATGGAACGGATCCTCACTGACTACAGAATGATGGAAAACACATTGACTACAGAATAGTGGAAGACATATTCACTGACTACAGAATATTTGAAGACATATTCACTGACTACAGAATATTTGAAGACATTCAATGAGTACAGATTAATGAAAGACATATTCACTGACTACCGAGACACACACTGATTACAAAAATAAGGAACGGATTCACACTGAGTACAGAACGATGGATGAGGACAATTTGAATCCAGTAAACACCTTATCTTTCTTTATCACTTAACGTTATGCAAATGTCAGCAATTAGACGTTCTGGTCTGACTCTTATTACCCCGTTATTACGACGCCAGAAAATTAGGAGTCACGCAGTCTACAGCAGATAATATTCTTGATATTTAATGTGTGTATTTTCCAACGTATTATTTTTCGTGAAGTGCCAAGAAGCAAGGGAGCATCGAGGCATACATTGTTGAATGTGTATGAATTAAACAACACAGTTTTGAGTTGCTAAGAAACTTAATTTATCAAAAAATTTTACAAAAATAAATATGTTGATTAATGTGCTTGAGAGAATACATAATACAGCTTTCTTTAATGGTATGTAAATTTGTTGGTCATTAAGGACTTGTTCTGGTTTAGTGAGGGCATCACTGCAACGCTTCATCATCTGGGAAGATAAACTATTCATTGGTCGTTCATTGTGAACGAAACCTTTATGTCCTCCTAAAGAGCATTCTACAATGAAGACATGAATGTTTGTAAACAAAATAAATCCAGTTTTAATTTATAATTAAATATATCCAATGTGCTTATCTCTCTCTTTTCATGAAGTTGTAAAATAATGCAAGTTTCGTAATTCTGTAACTCAGTATTCTGGCTTTATTTAATAAAGTACATTAGTTTATTGAATAAGTTATATTATTATAGCATCTATCTCCTGTATAGAAACGTGACAGTGACGCCATTTTGTCAGTGTCATGTTTGCCATGCAGTTGAGTTTTTAATTTAGTGTTGAGCTTAAGTCTTTTCCTCCAACAACTTGGGCTATACGGTAGAGCAACGGTCTCGCTTCATGCAGGTCGGCGTTCAATCCCCGACCGTCCAAGTGGTTGGGCACCATTCCTTTTTTGATCAGTACTAAATCAGTACTTTAGTACTGATCAGTATAAATGCTTAAAGTAAAAACTCATTATGTAGACGAGGAGTCACAATAACGTGGCTGAAATATGTTGATCAAACCACACTCTAGAAAGTGAAGGGACGACGACGTTTCGGTCCGTCCTGGACCATTCTCAAGTCGATTGTGATTAATCTAACTCAGTATACACCAAGAAGGAAGGTTGACCTTTCTGTGTATTTTTCTCCTTTCCACCATGTTCCTATGAGTATTGTGTATTATTACAGTAATACACAATAATATTGTTTAACCTCAGTATACTTGTTAAGCTATGTAGACGGCTATTTCATGCAAATGATAGAGCCCAATAGGCTCATGAATCTTATCACACGTTGATTGACAGTTGAGAGGCGGGAATAAAGAGTTGAAGTTCAACCGCAAACACAATTAGGTAAGTACACACACACACACACACACACACACACACACACACACACACACACACACACACACACACACACACACACACACACATTTCAATCTTAAGCAGAGTTAGGTTAATTTCTTTTCTACTTTTGCAAAGATTTACTTTCTTTTATTGCTCTATGTAAGCAATTTAGCAAAAACGTTTATCGTGATTTTCCAGTGTTTCTTATCTAATTTCGAATGCTAATTCCAAAAATTGTATCAATTTTATCTATCATCAATCGCTACAGTTACACTTATAAACCTGATTTTTAGTATCTGTAGTCACTAATAATGTCGTGAATTAGGACTTTCACCTACATATATCATATCATATTTTTTACATTCGTAGCATCACACTCGCTTGTTTCATACTGTTTTCTAGAACTGTAAATCTTAACGGTTCACAACATGACCAACAGACAATACAAAAAATCATCGGATACGTTCTGCTATGTTTGTGTATATGTTGGATTAATCCAACATATACAGATCTCACATAAATCTATAGTAGATCTCACATCAAATTGCAAAAAGGGGATAAATTCTGGGCTGTACTTTGGAATGCCTATGGGTGACCAGGACGAGCCCTACCTGGCCCCCCTCATGGAATATGTGGGAGTTGTCCATCTAACTTAACTATAAGGATAGTTAAGAGGTGTAAGAGGGGCTAATATGGCCTTTGACACGAATATTCTGGGGGCCATATTGCCTAATGTGGCCCTGAATACGGAGAGAACCCAACAGCCACCTTCAACGACTGTTATTTCTGCATGACTGATGTTGCAAAGTACAGGAAGTGTTCAAGAAAGGGCGGCAAAGCTGTTCAGTATTCCTACACACTCGTCTGGCCAAAATCAACTATGCAGAGATGAAGTGGGATGTGTGCGTGGGGATTTTAAGATACTTGGCGTGGTTTAAGGTTTGCAGGGGTGGATATACAAAATATTCGTGCTTCCTTTGTTTATGGGACAGCAGGGCTGAAGATCGTCGTTACTGGGAAGTGGCCCTCCCTCATGACAGGAACTACAGGTAGCAATGTTTAATATTATCAAGCAGCCTCTTGTGGAGAGTGATAAAAGTATTGCTATCCCATCTTCATATAAAATTTGGATTGATAAACCAGTTTGCATTGACCTTAGATTTTGGAGGAGAAGGTCTTCATGAAATCCGATTGATGTTTCCAAAGCTCTTTAATGCCGAGGTCATAAATGGTATATCTGTTGGTCCTCATGTAAATCCGATGTCGAAGGAAAACAAAATACTTGAAATAAAGATGATCAACGTTGAAAAAAAAATGGTGGGCATTACACGATGTATTTCATAGACTGTTAAGGAGCCGCAAAGATCCTAACTATAGGAGGTGGTGGCAAGGCTTAGTACTCAAAGCCATAACAACATGGAGCGATAAGGAGCACAGTGAAAGGTTTCACCAAGACACTGAAGCAGTGAAGAGAATGCACCAAGACACTGAAGCAGTGAAGAGAATGCACCAAGACACTGAAGCAGTGAAGAGAATGCACCAAGACACTGAAGCAGTGAAGAGAATGCACCAAGACACTGAAGCAGTGAAGAGAATGCACCAACACACTGAAGCAGTGAAAAGAATGCACCAAGACGCTGAAGCAGTGAAGAGAATGCACCAAGACGCTGAAGCAGTGAAGAGAATGCACCAACACACTGAAGCAGTGAAGAGAATGCACCAAGACGCTGAAGCAGTGAAGAGAATGCACCAAGACACTGAAGCAGTGAAGAGAATGCACCAACACACTGAAGCAGTGAAGAGAATGCACCAAGACGCTGAAGCAGTGAAGAGAATGCACCAAGACACTGAAGCAGTGAAGAGAATGCACCAACACACTGAAGCAGTGAAGAGAATGCACCAAGACGCTGAAGCAGTGAAGAGAATGCACCAAGACACTGAAGCAGTGAAGAGAATGCACCAAGACACTGAAGCAGTGAAGAGAATGCACCAAGACACTGAAGCAGTGAAGAGAATGCACCAACACACTGAAGCAGTGAAGAGAATGCACCAACACACTGAAGCAGTGAAGAGAATGCACCAACACACTGAAGCAGTGAAGAGAATGCACCAACACACTGAAGCAGTGAAGAGAATGCACCAACACACTGAAGCAGTGAAGAGAATGCACCAACACACTGAAGCAGTGAAGAGAATGCACCAAGACGCTGAAGCAGTGAAGAGAATGCACCAACACACTGAAGCAGTGAAGAGAATGCACCAACACACTGAAGCAGTGAAGAGAATGCACCAACACACTGAAGCAGTGAAGAGAATGCACCAAGACGCTGAAGCAGTGAAGAGAATGCACTAAAGCCCCTGGAACTCTACCCTGATGGGAGACTGTATGCGGCCTCATGTTACAAAAGATAAAAGTGTTCACAAGAGAAAAGTGCGATCTTCAAGGCATTTTTTCATTTAAAAAAATGTTCCCGATTATCTGAGTTTGTCAATTTTTGTATTAATTACATTTGGTAAATGTTTAACAAATTAAACATTCAGCCATGTATATTTGATTTATTTTCCTCTTAACTTAAGAAAATATGAAGCCAATACGCAGTTATACGTAAAAGTCATGTTACATGCAGACTAAATACAAAACTAAGATTATTTCTTAAAATTTCGATGACAGGCGGAAAGTAATTTTATTTTAAACTCAGCTCTCAAAAAATACATATAAAAACAACAACAATAAAATCTAATAAACGAACCATAAATTACAGATAATTATCTGAACATCATTTGTGGAATTTCTAGCTAAGTGATGTTCTTGTATCCACCGTGAGTAATCCCCTGTCCTTGTCTACCCATGTCAATTCCACTGAGTATTTTATATGTGGTGATTATGTTTTTTTTCCTGTTTATCCACTCTTCCAATGATGAGATATTGATTTGCTTTAGCCAGTCCTTGTAATTCATGCCTCTCTTTTTTCTCAGACTTGCTTGGTCGTGTTGTAGGCCTATACGGAGGCATGGGCAGCTTTTTGTTTTTATATGTTTGAAGAAAATTCTCATTTTGATCAAATTTTCATATGCAACAGATGATATCTGGTTGATCTGTGCTTCCTGAGAAAGGTACATGGTATCCGATAAAATCCATGCATAAGGAGATAGGTTAATGATATCCCGTTGATTAACGCTTCCGGAAATAGATTCATGATATCCCGTAGATTCATGCGTCCGGAAATAGATTCATGATATCCGGTTGATGCACGCTTCCCGAGTCAGGGCCATGATATCCAGTTAATCGCCGCTTGTCTGTGATGTCTGTGATGTCGTTAATGTCTACCACCGGCTAACTCTCTCTTCCGGACTCCACAAGGATTTATGAATCGATTTAGTACCTTTTTTTTGGCCTGCCACTTGAACCCAGCATCCCTCACTACTTCCCATTAGCTGCATTTGAGTAACCGGGAGTTTAAACTACCCCGCCGCAAGCACACTTAAGGGAGTAAAGCAACCCAAGTAGACATAACCGTCTTGTTTCCTCCTCTACATCCAAGCAAATGGGTTGTTCTCCAGAGGCAACTCGCGCGTTATTCTTGGATAAACAAAAAACAAGTCGGGTAGCCAAACAAGAACGTAATTAAGATAATTTCTGCGTCACCGTTAATCTGTTTTATTCTCCAGAAGCACGCCAGAACCGAGCTAATTGTGGCTCCTGCGGCTGTTTCTTGATTCTTGATGTTCATTACCAGCTTGGCGAGGGTGAACAGGGCGGGCAAGGGTGAACAGCGCTGGAAAAGGGTGACCGAGGTCGGAAGGGGAAACAGGGCAGTTAAAGATGGACAGTTATGGGGAAAGGGGAACAGGGGATTACAGCGTGAGTGTAACTCAAGGAAGGAAATAAAACATAAAGGCAAGGTAAAAATACTAGACACAAAGGGGTATCAATATGCAGTCGAGGAGTCGCTATAACGTGGCTGAAAAATATTGACCAAACCACACACTAGAAATTGAAGAAGGGAAGGGAACTATCAGGGGGAAAGCGCCAAGTCATTACGACTATATAGCACTTGGAAAGGGTCAGGATAGAGATTTGGGATGGGAAGGAGGGAAGGAATGGTGCCTAGCCACTTGGACGGTCGGTGATTGAACGCCGACCTGCATGAAGCGAGACCGTCGCTCTACCGTCCAGCCCAAGTGGCTGGGTTAGAAATTGAAGAGACGACGACGTTTCGGTCCGTCCTGGACCAATATCGACTTAATAATGGTCCAGGACGGACCGAAACGTCGTCGTCTCTTCAATTTCTAGTGTGTGGTTTGGTCAACATGTGAGTCACAATAACGTGGCTGATGATATGAAGACCAAACCATACACCACTAGATGAGAAGATGACGACGTTTCGGTCCGTCCTGGACCCATTATGAAGTCGATTGTAATCATGATTAACTTGATAATGATCTAGGACGGACTGAAACGTCGTTTCCTCATCTACTGGTGTGTGGTTTAGCCTTCCAAGGGTCTCAGGGTGCACTTGAAAGATGCAGAGGGCTGGAATGTGTACCTCAGAGCCAGAAGAGATTATGAGAGTCAATATGAAAATGACATATATATAGCGAAGACCCAACCAGTCTTCGTGTTCTTTGTGTTCTCCTACAGTAACAGGAGAACAATATAACAATTGTAACAGGAATAACAACAGTAAGAGTGTGAAGATCCAGAACGCGTTAAGAACGCATTCACATGGAATAATAACAATTGTTACAAACTTTACAGATGATTTTTAGATAAATCAGAATTTGTGGAAGATTAAACATTGAAGACTAAGAAACTTTAGCATATCCCTGAGAAAACAAATCATCCCTCAGCTGGTTACTAGAATTTAACTTCAGCAAATACAAGAGTAGGAAATGTCTGCTGGAAGACCTCACACTGAACCCGTCTCCTGTTAAAGGAAGTGGTCCATACATAAGCCAGAAAATGTCAGCTGTGTGTACGATATCGGTCAAGATAAGAACCGTCGTAGACATGGCGGGCGGCTGTATATATTCAACATTGCTCGTTTCGCCTATTGATATATGTTTGCTGACACTGAAGGTGAGTGATCAAACCTCTTAAGTGTTTTCTTTGTCGTCCAAAGAAAAGGTGTATGTGTGTGTGTGTGTGTGTGTGTGTGTGTGTGCTCACTTAGGTGTACTCACTTAGTTGTGCTTGCGGGGGTTGAGTACTTGCTCTTTGGTCCCGCCTCTCAACTGTCAATCAACTGGTGTACAGATTCCTGAGTGGTGTATGTGTGTGTGTGTGTGTGTGTGTGTGTGTGTGTGTGTGTGTGTGTGTGTGTGTGTGTGTGTGTGTGTGTGTTTGTGTGTGTGTGTGTGTGTGTGTGTGTGTGTGTGTGTGTACTCGCCTAGTTGTACTCAGTTGTCCTTGCGGGGGTTGAGCGCTGGCTCTTTGGTCCCGCCTCTCAACTGTCAATCAACTGGTGTACAGATTCCTGAGTGATGTATGTGTGTGTGTGTGTGTGTGTGTGTGTGTGTGTGTGTTTTACTATTTGTATTTGTGTCTGCAGGATGGAGCTATTAGCTATTAGCCTATCTAAGCAATCTATTTTTCCTCTATTAAATCTACTACATATATTTCTAACACACACACACACACACACACACACACACACACACACACACACACACACACACACACACACATATCCTAAGGAAGCAGCCCGTAGCAGCTGTTTAACTCCCAGGTACCTATTAACTGCTAGGTGAACAGATGCATCAGAGTGAATGAAACTCTGCCCATTTGTTTCCTCCTCCGCCGAGAATCGAACCCAAACCCTTAGCCTACGAGTCCAAAGCGCTGTCCACTCTGCCACAAGGCCCCTCTACTCACCCGTACGCGCGCGCGTGTGTGTGTGTGTGTGTGTGTGTGTGTGTGTGCAAATTTACTGACCTGGTTAAACCTTCTGGCAAAACAATCATCAATAAACAACAGTTACAATTATCCCGAGATATTTATTTGTAATTATTAAGAGAGCTCTATTCCCAGTCGTAATAATAATTTCCTTTTGTCCACCGGACTATGTTAACGAATTAATCTTACCACAAAAAATTATTACATCCAGGAGACGGTGTTTGAATCCAGTCACTATTAATTCCAATCTTGGTAATAATCATTCCCGAATCAACACGAACCTTTCCTAGCCTGGTTGGCCAAGCCAACTTTGACTATGCCTGATATCCTCCACTTTATTAAAAATAATTTGCCCTTTTAAGTAGTTACATTTAAGTAGTTGATATAGGCACATGCCTATATCAACTTTTAATCATTATACGTTCACTACCTATAAGCCTATCATGTTTTACAACCCGTATATGCATATTATGATTCACTACCTGGATACCTATTACATATTAATATGTTTAAATCTAGTACACATTTACAATCAGTAGATTTATCTCAATGTTCGTTTTTGAACGAACATTAAAATGTTCATTACCAATGTGGTAATCAGTAATATTTGTGTTCTGTTTGTCATTCAGGCATTTCTGGCATGTTGTTGTTTGTTGTTAAAGATTCGCTACCTGGAACAAAAAGTTCCAAGTAGCACGGGCTATGGTGAGCCCCGTCATTTCTGGCAGCTGCTTCAAACCCATATACAATTTAATAACCATTATGCAATATTTCCTAGTCATGGAGTAATTAATTTTATGGCATAAAATATTGCAACATCGTTAGTTGTATAGATTTAGGCGTGTGTTGTCACACTACAGCTGGGACAAGTGTGTGTGTTGTCACACTACAGGTGGGACAAGTGTGTGTGTGTTGTCACACTACAGCTGGGACAAGTGTGTGTGTTGTCACACTACAGGTGGGACAAGTGTGTGTGTGTTGTCACACTACAGGTGGGACAAGTGTGTGTGTGTTGTCACACTACAGGTGGGACAAGTGTGTGGGTTGTCACACTACAGGTGGGACAAGTGTGTGTGTGTTGTCACACTACAGGTGGGACAAGTGTGTGGGTTGTCACACTATAGGTGGGACAAGTGTGTGTGTGTGTTGTCACACTATAGGTGGGACAAGTGTGTGTGTTGTCACACTACAGGTGGGACAAGTGTGTGTGTGTGTTGTCACACTATAGGTGGGACAAATGTGTGGGTTGTCACACTATAGGTGGGACAAGTGTGTGGGTTGTCACACTACAGGTGGGACAAGTGTGTGTGTGTGTTGTCACACTATAGGTGGGACAAGTGTGTGGGTTGTCACACTATAGGTGGGACAAGTGTGTGTGTGTTATCACACTACAGGTGGGACAAGTGTGTGTGTTGTCACACTATAGGTGGGACAAGTGTGTGTGTGTTGTCACACTA